TCTCTTCTGTCTTCATTTCGTCCGTCTCATCTTTCTCACCCGAACCACCACCCACCCATTCCCACGATTCCTGAAAACAGGCTGAAGAGGGCCTTCCGCCCTACCTTCCGGCATAGTCCGGAGGGACTGTCCGCCCACCAGCATTACTGGCTGGTGGGAATGAAACACCCAAAAGTTTTTTTTTTCTTTTTATTGAAGGCGACTCGACCCTGCGCTATCCTCTGCTTGGTTAAGTAAAAACATATATCATATACTACATGGCATCATACCTTCTTATGTTTAAAAATAAACGTTCTCGGTTTTTATAGAACGGGAATAATGAAAATGACAGTAAGGTTGTTACCTGGTGTCACCTCCATTTTGTGTTTTATAATTGTCAACATGTTTTCTCCACTGATAAATCATACCAGGACTTTCCGGTTGATCCATAACGTAAATATGTTTAAGATACCTATTATCATAGGGTTCGTAGTTTTCGTAATTATCAGAGAGTGGTTCATCTCTAAAATCGGAAATTTCGAATAAATAGTTAACTGCATCAATTCTGAATCCATCCACGCCTTTATCTAACCAAAAAGTCATTACGTCCTTTTGAAAAATAGAACAATTAATATTGAATAAATTCAAACAAACAGTTATAACTTACATTCATTTCCTGTATAACTTTAGGATTCCTGAAGTCTAAATCAGGTTGAGCAGTGGTAAATTGATGGTAATAGTATTCGTCCCTCTCGGCGACATATTCCCAGGCAGAATAGCCGAATCTAGACAACTTGAAATCAGTAATTTAATTATAAAATATTTATTTGTCCAATACAAAAATTATAGAGCAAAATCAGCTGGGGTCGTTCGGATATGTAAGCAGAATGAATAGAGAGAGACAAGTAAGGATAGTATGGGAAACTAGGATAATAAACAGGAAAAAGAGAGGGAGACCAAGGAACATAGAGACAAACGAAGTTGGGAAGATCTTGAATAAAAGTGATATGACGTTAAATCGGGTGGAGGAGCCGGGCCAGGATAGGAGGAAATGGAGAAGTCTAATCAATAACATTTAACATTCGTTTTTAACAGTCCATTGCCTTACACCTATTGAAAGGCTTTACGACGATGTATATAAGAAAGGGAAAGGGGAAATAGTAACTGGTAGAAGAAAAATCTGGAAAGTTTTATATGCGGATGACAATATTATTAGCGAATAACGAAAGAGGGCTGAAAGATATGATGAAAAAGAACATGGCTGGAATTAATTACTGGTAAATCAAAAATTTTAAGGGGAAAAATCAGGATGAAGAAAGAAGAAATTAGAATTCCAGTGGGAAAGGAAAATAATCGAAGAGTTCACCTGCTGCAAAAGAATAATGGAGTAGATGGACACATATAAAAACTTAGGAAGAAAGCTATAGGGGTAATGAGAAAGGTATGGGGAATAAGAAAAAGAAATCTCAAAGAGAGTTGGAAACAAAGAATGTTCTTATTCGAAACATTGGTAAAAAGCATAATATTGTACGAAGCGAAAAAATAGGGGTAGGAAGAAAGAAAAGAAATTGAAAACATTCCAGACAAGTATATAAAGTTGGATTGTAGAAATAGATAAATACATAGAAGTACTTATATCTAGAAAAAGAAATGAAATGAAAAATGAAAAAGTATTAACATACGAAGAAAAGTATTAAATTCAGAAAGAGAATGTATAAAAATTAGGGACAATACGTATATTAAATATTCGCACCGAATTTTCTAATGGAAAGTGGATGGGCGATCACGCACTACAGATAGAAATTAGAAAAGACAGAAGTGTACAGAAAGAACTGGAAATTTTAATTAAAGACATTGATTAGTAAAAAAGAAGGGAAAAAATTAGAAACTTAAAATTAAAATCCCCGTATGTGAAGGCGAAAAGTCGGTTGTTTTCAGAAAAAAAAATTAATTTTTACAACCCTTAATAATATAATAAAACTCAAAATTTCGCATAAAAGAGTTTAAGGAAGTCGGTTAATGGTTGAATACAGAGTATTAATTCCAGTTTTTAAGCCTTATGTATAATATCGCTTTGTAATGACGATAAATGTTCTTATCCAGGGTTAAGAATTATAAACGAATTATAAAATTGATATTTATATACCCCTACCTTTTAATAATCAAACACTGCTCATTTATAAACTTCCAAATAAGAAATTGAAAATATTATTATGCATACCCAGTTGTTGGGAGGCGCCGTTGAATTATAGCCCTTCTTCCAAATGAAATAGTCTTTGTACCCTTCAGTTTTATTTTTGGACAGCTGAAACCACACGTGTTGATCGCTTGTATGATTCGGAACATAATCTAAAATAATTTTCAGGCCAAGTTCATGGGCTGTCTTGATAAGCTGCTCAAAATCACTCATAGTTCCGAATTTTTCATCAATATCTCTAAAATCGCTAATATCATAACCAGCGTCGACCCCAGGAGATTTGAAAATTGGCGAAAGCCACGCAGCTGTTATTCCTGCATTTACTAGATGTTGTAATTTACTAGTAATACCGTTCAGGTCTCCCATCCCATCGCCGTCACTGTCTTTGAAAGATCGAGGATAAATCTGATAGAATGTTGCATATTTCCACCAATCGTCTTTGGCTGTAGAACTACCATTATAAACAATTTCCGCTTCAATTAAACTATTTAGTAAAGTAGTAAAAATGATCACTATTCTTAACGCACTCATTAGTTACGTATAGTCAATTGTAAGACTAATAGACAACAGTAATGTGATGAGCAATTTTAAGCTATTTATATTAGATGAAATGTAGAGATAAATATTTAGATCGTGTCTGTCTACGGTACTTCGATATAAAAAGAACGATGAAAAAGTTCAAATAATGATAAATTATTTGCTTTAAAGATCTTCACAGTAGTGATAACAAAACAACTTGAAGCCGCCTTAGACTTATTTTCGGGGAGAAGTGGAATAGTACCACCATAATTATTGTCTGATAAAGATCCGTGACGGAATAGTACCATCATTAAGATTATACATCAGATGACCACAGAACGGAATCCTACCAAATCGTGCTGATATTCAGTAGTAGCATATTAAACTGAAAATATAGTACAATAAATCGGTTTCAAAAAAGAAATAGAGAAGTTACAGTATTATGAATATTAAAAAAGCGTTATTTATGGAATACTGTTTGTACATCAACTTATCTTAAAATAGCATTCAAAGAATATTCTAATCTAATAATAAACACAGTTTTTAAGTTGTATATCTGGAAACGCGTCAGGGTTTTGATGTTAGATGATGCGCGTATACGTTATAGGTAGGTAGGACGACAGGACTAAGCCTGAACCCCAATACGAGCCCAGTCGGAATGATAACTTCGTGCCTTGACTCAACAGGGTATTCTGAACTTGTAGACCGATTTTACTAGCCAACATTTATTGTTATTATAACCAGTAGTGGTTATAAAGCGTAAAACCATATTAGTCAGAATTCTCGCAAGCCTGCGCCCAATTAGAGTCCAAATATTGTATTGCTTTACTAATATTTTAATTACTATTATTTATTTTCATTGTACCTAAATATTCATCTTCTCATTATTTATTCATTTTATTTTGTTATCAAAGTAGCATTATATATTTTTTAGTTTATACTACAAAACTATTGTTTTTATGAAATTTTCATTTACTGCAGGGGGCAAGGACTTGTTTGCCAGTTTATTTATTTGATATCAATTAAGTGTAGGCAATGTAGAGATGATGTATGATGCTGTATTTTGTTGCGAAACGTATGTTTACTGCTCATTAAAAATTAACCAAAAATTATTGCTTCGAGGTTGTGCTAAGAATGTCGACTTTTTATTAAAATAAGAAAGAAAATTTCCGACTACCGATACCTACATGTCAAAAAAGTATCTCCACAAATAAGAATCGATAGGTACTTTTATTCGATACAACTACCAAGTGAAAGTATTGTTTCAACCCTACTAACAAGTGAAGTTAAATAAAGGCCATTAAAAATTAAATAATACTTTTCTTAATTATTGTGATTTGATCTACGTCTCGTTTTTTTTTGATAAATAGCTGTACATGTTGGAGATAATAGTTCTTGAAAAATGTAAACTAATCAGTTTAATCAATTACACAATGTAATAGAAAATTGTACTCGTAGGAGATAAATTTTGCGATAAAAGAGTGAAGTTACCACATCACTTTTCGATATATATTTTTTAATTATCGTTTTCCGTTAACATACGTTTTAATTTTTATGAGTACCTAGTTCAATTAAAACTATTGTGATTAAATGTTTGGTAAATTTCCTCTGTAACTTTTATAATTTTGACTGATTCATACCTTTGGTCAAGCCACATTGTGATCACTGTTTGGTTTGGTCATAATCACTCTTAAGCATACCACCGTTCACATTATGTGGTACGACCGGACAGCAGGCGAGAGGTATCTGTGGAAATTTTTAAAAATACTTTAAGTGTTTTTCAGCTGATTATTCAATCTTTTTCAAGTGTGCTTAGAAACGACTATATAGTTTTTTGATAAAACTTTCTGGAATATTACAAATAATTTTTTTTTATTCATTGCGCTTATAAAAAGTTTCCAATATATAACCAGAAAGGGTAGTTCTTCTCCCTCACAGTAAAGAGCATACCGTACTCTGCGTCGCCTGGTACTTGATCGCAGTTATCAATTTTTTTTTTAATTTCCGCTCCGTACACATAAACATTTTTCAACTTTTTTTTTTCCCACGTGTCACCAAATTTTTTGACATCTATACACAACTCCCGGTATACTTCGGTTTCCTGTTAATGAATTTTGATTAGTCTAACGCCTTTTACATCTTTATGAGCTAAGACAAGCATCTCAGCAGTCTGAGATGATCTGTTTAAGAGGAGTACAAACAGCAAACACGACAGTGTGACCAGTAACCACACCAAAAGCTTTCCTGTCGGCCCAACGTTTTGGAGACCTTATTTTTACATAGTCTATAGTGCAGTATTAGTGACAAAAACAAAAATAAAAAATATAAAAATAAACTATATTATTACATACCTATATACATATTTTTAAAAAATCACACAATTTATAATAAATTCCAAATATAACGTGTTTGATTATATACC